CTCGTAATAGCAGGACATATTGGTCGTAAGACGGATCAGAATATCCAAGTACAGGCAGATACGTATGTATGTATATTGTATTCCGTTTGTTTGTTCTATTTGGCAAATGCCATTCGAACGCGAAACGGGTCGGGATTTGTATCGGTCGAACCAGTGCCGCGTTAAGTATTGTTACCGCTCCGGGGCAAATTAAAATATGCCGTCCTTAAGAAAAATAATATTATAACTGTTTAAAAATAAAATTATCACACTGAAAAGATATTTACACACCTAACGGTGCAATGTGCTGACTTCCGAGATTAAATAAAACGATATAATTGTACCTGACTATATTCGATTCAAGAAACCTACAGGAATAATGAAATTAGTTTATACGATTACAGTATAAGTTCTTAATTTTTATCCTCTTGTGTCATGAAGCCGTAAACTGCGGCTTTATCGTGGTATTTATGAACGAAATAATATGCATTATGGTTATACATTCATACAAGAAAAATTAAAATTATATACTATTTTATTTTATGTTGATCCTCAATAATTTTCCGCCCCAGGACAATCCCTTCCTTGCCCTCTGTTGAACGTGGTTCTGGATCGAAGTTCAAACATTGAATGTTATTGAATTTTATTGCGTGTGCACTCGTAAAATGTGCAGGAGTTGGTTTTTCGTCTACGATGAGATGTCATACCACGTTCCGACCGCAACATAATACGCTCGAAGGATCGGTATCGAATTAGGAAATAAACGCCCACCACTTTGTAATTTATGGTTTTTAATGAAAACACGTCCGGTTTCTGCCGCATTTCCTTTTGGTAATTTCGTTGCATGACCGCCACCGCTGCAATGACACCGATGACAATATAATTGCGACTGCAAATTTACGGCGTTCGTCCGAAGGCTGAGGGAAGTCGCAACACGTTCGTGATATGATTTTACTTTTTTTTTCCCCTCTTCCGGAATAATAAGCCCGTTACAGTTTTTGTACAATTTATCGTCGTTGTTATGATTATCGTTATATTTTACTTCTAGGCTCAATCGAAGCTATGTTTAATTTTCAGAAAACTTCGAAAGAAAGTACTGACTGACATTAGTTTTAATTATGACTATCTGTTTGCTCATTTTAAAATTTAAAATGCACACTCATATGAACTATATTTTAAATAAACGTATTTTAATTAAACATGAAAACAGTATTCAGAGTTCACGTGATTCCGCGATACATTTTGTCTGTGTAAGCAACTGTTTTTGTGACTCCATCGATTTCATAACACACTTTAAAATTTCTTAATGCGCATTTAAATGTTTGTACCACGCAAAGTGCACTGTGATACGCAAAGTTTTAGGCCCTGATCAGAGTCTACTGTTATGTTGTCGAGCGATACGGAAAACCTATTTGGAAATAATAAACCGTCCCCCGTCTGACGTGTACGCGTTATCGGCAACCGCAAAAACTAACTCAACGATTCGAACTTTTAAAGAACAAGTCTTATTTTGGTGGAGTGAAACAAAAAAAATAAGAACAATAGTTTTATATATATATTTTTTTTTTAAGATACAGCGATCAGTCAGTGAATGGTTAGTACAATGATAGTTCGATAGATTAGTATTATTAATATATTGATCAAAGACAATAATATTAATAACATTAGAAATATGAACAAACTAATGTTTCAGAACGATGTTTACGTAAAAATTGTAAGTATAAAATACTATAAGAAAGTAAACTTGGAAAGTGTAATACTAAAAACGACTTTCTTACGTAACGAATCGATAGTGTCATCAACTTTCTATCCGTCAGGCGTCAATCATGACGAAAATGTCTCTATGCGGTGATTTTGCCGCATATGATATCTCACGAAATCACCACCTTAGTACGACGATTCGGACCGAATCATTAATTAACTTCGATTTGTATCTAGCGATTCTATATTCAAGCTTGTTGGTTCCGTTATTGTTGCCCGTTATCGTATCGAAATAGAAAAATAAGATAATGTCAATCGAATATTACAAATAACGACCAGAAATAGTAAAAATAGTTTATTTGATATATATGTGTGTGATCGACGGTTCTTTCTGAAATTCTTATAACACACCCGTATATTTTATAAGAATATAAAATAACAAATTTTCATTCCTTTTATTATTATTATTATTCTGATTCTTTATTTATTTATACTTTTATGTACATGTTTTGCGTTACTATTTTTTTAAATATATTCATATTACAACTTAATAAAAAGTGTTGTGGAATTTGTGGTGAAATACGGTAATATTACACCATCGCATACTACAACAGAATGCAATGTAAAAATAAAATTATATAGTATATTAAGTTCGCATTTTACTTCACATTTTCAATTAAAATATTAATACGCTTCAATATTGTCAACATTGGATTTTATTTTTTTAATCTACTTAAATTTATACTTTATATAATGTTTATCTATAAAATATTATAAATTATAAGTTGTGCATTGTATAGTGAAAGAATGAAACTTTTAATTAAATCAAAGTTGATAATTGTGAAAAAAGAATATTGTTCTTTGAATTATAATATCGCTTAAATAAAATCTTAAAATTCTTTTGAACTATATGGTATAAATATTAAAGTTTGGAATCATTCCAATAAGAATGTTATACGATATTCATTCTCTCATTCTCCAACGACATAAAATTATTTTTTTTTGGTTAAAAAAATTAATGAGGTTATCAAATTTGCATTCCAATAAATTATTTTAAAAACCATATTAAGTCAGAAAGTATGCAGTTGCGTATTTTTAATAGTAATTAATTCGAATAATATTGAATCATCAATAAAGATATATTATTAATGTTGACGTTAATCTCGATAAAGCTATGAATAATGCTTACCAAAAATGAAATACACGGTTCCATGGATTTTGTAAAATAAAAAAAGAAATTTAGTCAATTTCCACCAGTTCCATTAATAATTTTTTTTTCATTGTTCATTTGTTGGTTGTTGCATTTTCCAATGATTATTATCGGTTTGAAATAATCATACCACGATCCACATTATACTTCCGTTTACCTGCGAATCAGCTCACTATTGTATACTGCCATTAAGTTTGGCACTTTAACAATTTAGACAAATAGCTAATGATAAACGCAGATGTCTGGTAAACTGATTTAATCGGTTGCTAACTACGTTAAAATCCGATTAGCAGAGCCATTCTGAATATAACTAAATATGGTTACAAACAACAGATTATATTATCTACACATTAATCAAATAGCATTCGATGATCAATTATAACCGTTCCAAGTGCGACCGCAAAAGGTTTTACAACTATACGGAAAAATATGTAACCATTCAGAATCGATTTTGTCAAAAATTGTTGTATCGCGTAAATTTCATTGTTCTTTTTTTTTCATACTATGTTTTTCTTAAATTTTCTGTAAGTGTTCATTAAGTTTCTGATGTCTTAAATGTCATCTGTGTTTGAATCACAATCAATGCATGGCACTTAATTTTCTGAAAAAAATGGTACTCACAAAATTCGTAAAACACAATAATAGCATTTACGTAGAACAGAATAACCGTAAACCACGATGAAACTAAAATTAATTTTCTAGATCTAAGTAAAATATGTGGAATTTTTTAGTAAATAAATCGTTTGAGACGTAATAAATTCGATTTAACGCATTATGGAATATGCACCTGTAATGATAATAATGTTTATAGTGTACACTAAATTAGTATCATATTTGATTATACAAAAACCTCCCATACAGGTATGGCATTAAATTGCCTATCCATTACGCCGTATTACGAGATAAAAATGTAAATTAAAACTAATACCTGGCGATCAATACGATCCCTTTGGGTTTCTATATATTTTATACAAGTACATTAGTGTTTGACGGCGAACGATGAAATTATCTATTCTTTGATAACTTTCATTTATTAGGTATCAAAAATGTAATCGAAAAGTTTTACGTAACATAATATTATGTAACTCGCGTCAAAAAGTCTTAATTGTTTATTTATTTATTATCTAACTAAAAATAAATGTTTGAGTTAAATTATATTAACTCATTTCAATAGCATTTGTCGCGATGAGTATAAGTATACGACTGAATATTTCCGTCGATAAAGAATGCAAAATTACTCGAGTTCGTTGAAAAATTAACTAAGTATCCCAGAAATTATAAAATTAATATCTCTTTAGACTGATTAAATTAATCGATAAAATGGTATAATTAATTTATAATTGATATGATTACTCAATCTGTTAATTATCAGAAATCTGTTTATTTTTGTATTACTTTTCAACCATTAGAAATACGAGTAAGAAACAGAAGAATAATAAATAAATTAATGCACAGTAAAAATTAAAGTATTTATTTATTTATGTTAGTAGTACATCTTAGATTAATATATAAATGGTGAAATAATTCAACCAAAATATAGCAAATTTCAAACCAACATTAATTATAGACGGAAACAACAGTTTACTTAAAATATATTGAATTATTTAATACAAAAAAATTAAATCAGTAGTATATTACGACTGAGAAGCAATATGACATTTTGCTTATTGCTATTGGTACAATATGCCCGAGACACAGTAATTTGTAAAATGCATTGAGCATAAATGGTTTCTAGAAAAGGAGGGTAGGGAGAAACCAAAAAAAACTGAGTTAAAACTGACAGCTGACAGGATTAAACTTCAATCCTTCTTTACACAACGAAAAAACCTTGTGTTCTGTTTCATAAATATATATTTCAAGAACATGTGTGGTTTTAATACGAAATAAAAAATACTAAAAGTAATAATAAAAACAATAACAATAGCGATAAAAATAAAGCGTGTGTAGTGTAAAAAATATTACAAATATTGGTTTTCTTTCGATTTAATTGTTCTTTTCGGTACAGTATTAATTCGACAATCAACTATGTTTATAGAAACAAAAGGCAACAGTGTTCCTATTACATCTCAGACCGTACATTTTGAAATAAATAAAAAAAAAAATTACGTACTCGTCGCTTGGATTTGATGTGTTCCAGCTGCCTCTGCGTACATTCTCCAATGCTCTGACTTCCCCACAGCTCGTGACCAATCATCGCGTAGGTGAAACTCATCAGACCAATGGGCATGAAGTACGTTATTATCATAAACGACACGTTATAACTGAAATGAGAATAATAACATAAAATAAGTCATGGTTGATCGTAGTATGTATAATCATTTACCACGATGAATATAAATATTTTTTCAACAAGATTAGTGTAATCGATTGTGTATTCCTACAGCCACAATCACAGTTTACTATATGTACATTTTAAACCATCAGTCAAGTTGAATAGCTAATGAAATATATTAATAATAGTAAGTGTCCTTATCATGGTTAATTTAAATATAATTACTCGATACACAAATCACATTTAATTATCAAATATTATCTTGAAAGCGAGGGGATTAAATCACGTTTTGTAAAAAGTATAAAATAAAATATGCAACAGATACTAAAATTAAAAGTGAAATTAAGTAAAATACATAATATTTATTTATTGATACCTCGAAAGGGTAAAAGTACAGATATTATTCAGTGTTAAATTTATAAAAATATATAAATATAAAAACTATAAAGACATATTTTACTTTAAATTGATAAAAGTATTAGTTTTGAATTCAGAACAAGTGTTGAAAAAAAAATCATAATTTATTCATTATAACCTGATTTTGGGAGATGGTACTCTATTAGTGTAATAATTATTTGTGGTTAGTGGGCTAAGAAAGGGTTTATTTGTCCTATAATTAAATGAAGGTACTTTAAAGTTAATTTATGCATAAACTCAGGACAGTCTATAACTCCATTAACGATTTTGTGTAAAAATGTAGTTTAATCTAATAGATACCGGGTCCTTAGAGTTTTTAGTTCTGAATTATTAGCAACCTGTTCCACATTATGATTAAGCCAACCAGATTTAAACGCACAAAAACAAAAACAAATTTTTTATACCATTCCTAATTTATTAATTAAACTCCTTTGATGCGGATATAATAGCACCGCATTCGAGTTTTAATCTAACTAAAGAGTAATATAAAGCTTTTAGATAAAATGGGTTATTTAAATCATGATATAATATTTTCAAAATATCTAATGTTAGAAGATTATTACTATAAACAGTATCAATAGGAGTGTTAAATATCAAGTTAGATGAATAAACCAAACCTAGATCACAGATAATATTAACTGGGCTTAATGGAACTTCACATAAATAGCATTGAAAATGTATGGTATGAACAAAACGGTGAAATGTGATACTTTGACATTTTAAGGGATTTAATGACTTATTATTCACATTACACTGTAAAAATATCTAAATGTTGTAGTGTTATGACATTATTAATTAAATAAATATACATAGACATTTTCATTTTATCGGGAAACAATAAAAATGTACAATATTTAAATCATTTACTAATCTTTAATATATAAGAAATAATAATATAACTTTAAATATGGTACTACGGTAAAATATTCGAAAGTATAATTCTTATTTTTAGTATAATTTTATTTCTTTTAATATGATATTTCGACCATAATTTATTTCGTAATCATTGATTTTGTAAACAATAATATTGATATTAAAATACATTTTTAGTTACAAGCCCCTAGTGTAGAAGAAACAATAGTCCGTTTGAAGAATATGAACTACAGTTTAAAAATAATGATTATAAGTATCTTTCCTCTTGGTCATGATTCTACCACTGAAGAAAAATAGTGATACAATTTTATTCAATATTATACAAATAATGCTAACAAATATTAATATTTATATATAATGAATTATTCATCCATTTATACTATACATGTTATAGTTAAATATAGTTCCGGAAATCAAATTGAGAAATCATTCACAATTTCCGCGAGCTCATGTATTTTATTGAGCTTACGAAGATTGATTCTACTTAAACAACTTTGTTCGCAGTTTGAAAAAAAAGATTATAATTATACATTGAATACAATTTTTATATTCTCAGCTATGATACTACGAGAACATACAATTAATTCAAATGAAGAAATGAAAATTATCTTTCGGAAATCAAGTTCGATGTACAAAAATAAATACGTCTCCAATTCCCTTTCCCTTTAGTTAAATTCAAAGACATTATTTTTCTAAGCTACAGAAGACCACCGACTGGGATAATGAATTTTTTAAGAAGCGTTTGGTGATTCGATAGATGTGCTCAATCTATTTTTACCACAAATGTAGTCCATCTATTACGATATATTTTTTGATTAGGTATGGAGATAACCTTGTAGATATATAAATTTGTAATTCATTATATAAAATGCAATTAACTAGATTAGGTATTTATACGATTTTTCCCCTCGGATATTTACTTTCCATTTATTTAAAAAATGATTTTTACATTGAACATTATGTTTGACCGGTAATCTAATTTAATATTTCTCTCGACTGAACTATAAAAACTATAAAACAATTTTATGGTCCATACTGGTATAACAAATTCTTGTGAAAAAATAACGAAAGTACATGGCTATATTACTATATTAATTGGTTTTCCACACTCATTAAAATTTAAAACATATTTTATAACTATAAAGTGTTATTTATATATGTTTGGACGTTAACACGGTTGAATTCATTTACGGTTTATAAGTTAAGTTTATTTTTTGAACTTTTTACATGGAGAATAGGTAGTGCATGAAAGTGTATATATATACTCGTATATGAATATTCTTTTAAGATCAATATTTTACCATGATTATATTATTTTTATTTAGATATATCTTCAACGAATACTCAAGAAATAATTATATATGATTAAATTGTAATAATAATAGAATAAGCAAAATGTATAAACAATAGTCCATTATATGAATATTCGGTGTTAGTTGGGTATCAGTTTGGTGATGATCTGCAATACGGTCGCATGTCCATTAAATTGCAATTTGTTCGTTCCGTTATCACGATTTTAATTATCTAACCAGTCTACGGTATTATGTTGTATTAAATGAGTCTTTAATTTCAAAATTGATATCATACCCTTTTCACTTCTTTGCTTACTACCAAATCCAAATGGTCACTGTCATCATCAACTAATTTTCTTATTTATACGCAGAAAAAAAACAAAATACCCTTTCGCCTAATTGTTTCGCTATCTTGGTGAGTGAAAAGAACAATGAAATTGAACCAGACACCTTTCGAGACATTCCATATTTAATCAATGAATAAATTGCATACCACCAACACGACAAATTCAGGACTTTGCCAATATATGTTTAAAATATTAATATCTTCTCTGCTTTCAAAAACAAGTTAATATATACGTATTACTGGTCTCAACGGGTTCACGTATAAGTCATCATCTTCCTTTTTAATTGTTCGCCATTATGGACCTCTACATTTCAAAGCAGTTACAGATCACCTGATGGCTACCGATGCTTGTTTTCACAGTTCATGCCACAAACATATCAACTCAATTAGATAATAATCAGAAATTTGTTCCATTCAACACTCATATCTAATATATCACCATATTGCCCTATCGCCCTATTGGAATTAGATCACTCCGCCAAAAAAATTACGAACGTCATTAAAAATAATCAAATCCACTGTTTTTCATGAAGATTAATCCAATTACAAACAATAAAAAAAAATTGCATCAATGTTGTACACCAAAATAAAAGTCGCATTACTCTACAGGACCAGTAGAGATCCACCTCAGTTTTGAAACTTTCAGAGCTATGGACATACCGTTAAATATTGTCATCACCCTTCACGTTGTGTTAAATGTAGTGAAAACAACTTCTCAGACAGTTACACCAAAGAAAAAAGCAATTCAGCCAAGCGCACCTTACGTGAGTGTCATCATACATCCAACAACAAAAGTTATATGAAATATACATTACTTTTTAAACGTCGCTAAACAACTCGATCAAATTATCAAAATACTAATACTGTACCCACTTCTTCTCAATTCAAATCTCCTTCTCACTTTCCCAAATCTCCTTACACCACAATGGAATATTTGTCACAATGCAGATGAATAAATAATATTTACTAGATTTTTGTTGTTCGTCCTAGTAACGAAAATAAAATACATTGATTTGACCGTTCTGAGTGCGTATATATATAGCCATGTAAGATATATTTATCAAAACAATCTATAACAAATTGCAGTCGTTAATTTTCATTCTCATTAGCGTGCTATTGGCTTGGTTAATTACTTATACTCGTAGTAGAGGAAGTGAAACGAATAACATAGAGAAGTTTGTTTTTAAAAGAGTTAGAGAAATGAAAACTGTATAATCGACTTTACCGAGAAAATACGTTTGAAGGTAATTATTATCGTCTTCAAACACGAATACAACCTTTTCGTAGATGTAATCAATCAGTGTCACCGGAGAATACGCAGAATAATGGGTGTGTTGTAAAGGTTTGTACATTAATGTGGATGGGTCAATCTAATAAAGGTATTAAAAGATTATTCACAAATAGTTACAGTAAATCGGAGGAGAACACACACCTATATTATTCGCGTGGATGAAACTATATGTGTTATAGTTGATAGAAACCTTTTTTTCAATACAGAATCCCACACATTCTGGAGTTGAAAATGTTCAAAATTTTGGAGACGTTGTGAGTTCGAGTGCGTGAAACTATATTTTTATAGTATTATTTTGACAAGCCGTTACGCTATGCCAATGTTTTTGGTAAACTGTGTTTACATTTTCATATTGTCCACTAATATTTTGATCAATAAACACCGAACATTTTTGTTTAAAATTTGGAAACTTTGCATGTTTTTACCCTCATGTCATATTGTTATATATTATGAATTCGGGTGGAAATCATGGACAACTATAATTTGGTAGTGCCTTATATTGCCCTAGAAAAATGAAAAAGAGCGCACAGTCGATTTCGTTTCTAAAATTTCATATTTCGACGAAAATTCGAAAACTAACACAAATGGATATTCGTCAATATATTTATAGACTGTTTTGCAATCCACATAAACCAGAATATAGTAAATTTTTTGATATACACGAATTTATATGATTTAGTGAAACCTTCCGCGGTGTGTTCAAGCGCAACCAAAGCCACATAAAATAACCAAGAACTTCATGAATGATGATGATAATAATAATAATTGAT